GATGCCCCTAGCATTCCAGGTGATGCCCTTAGCATTTCAGCTAATGCTAGTAGCATGATATGTGATGCGTAAGAGCTCCTGAAGTTTAGAGTTTGTGTAGTTTGGAGCTGACTTTTTTTCATGCAGGCGTAAGTGAGCTCCAAATTTGGAGTTTACGCAGTTTGGAGCTCACTTTTTATGACCTGCATATGAATAGTAAAGTATCACAATAGTCCGGTAAATAAAAGGAAAAGTCCGCTAAATTGAGCAAAACGTGCGCTAAGAGGTAGGACGTGGATAGATAATATTACTTTTCGTTAAATTTGATAATATTTTGTCCGAGTAATAAAGTCCCTTTATTCTCCAGTGGACTTTTGCTAAAGTGGACATTTTCTGGATCTATGCCAGCCCTCTCCCCGCCCCGTTTCCATCTCTGGTATGAGCCATATAATTTATCTTAACCCTTTGGGAACGGTGGTACAAGGGTTGTACCACCTATTTTCCAGTAAAGAAAATGTTTGTTTCTCATAAAACTATTATTATGTGTAAGGTAATAGGTCGTTTCAGCTACCATCGCATGCATATCTTTCCTCTCTTTCTTTGTCATATAGATGCTTCTCAGATCTTCTCTTTTCTTTCTGCTCTATACACTGACGCCATGATCACTTTCTTTCTTATCTTGATGTATTGTCATAAGGCTTTTATGTGATCATTTTGATCCACATACAATAAATTGATGAAAGAACCATTTTTCAATTGAAAAATAATTCCGTCCCCAAAGGGTTAAGCTAGTGCTGCGCTTATGAACATTTAAGAGTTTATAGTAACAGAGAAAAAATAGCATTTCTAGCAAGTACTAAAACTTTTCCCTTAATCCATAGGTGTACGGGACTCAGATTATAACCATTGCCCTGTCAGTTGAAAATTATTGTGATAAGGCTATAGTTTACGGATTGTTAATATCTTTGTACTGTGTTTATTGACTATATCTGAGTTTCTCTCGCGTTTGCTTTCTCAATAAGATGATAAGAAGGGCAGACAATGGATCTTTTTACCATGGTAAACAAAAATCTTAATATTTATTATATATTTAGCAGATCAGAGTGAATCAGAAAGAGAACAATCAGTGAAGCCTAATGATTAATATCCGATTGGATCCTGTCGAAATTCTCGATCCGGGGTCATAGACAGACCTTGTTTTGCTGTAGCTCGGGGTGCCAGAGTAAATCATAGAAGAACCGTTGCTTGTAATAACACCAGAGTCGTACATTGATGTTTCTGAAACTGTTTAATAATTACCTCTCTTTTCGTTTGTTGAAAGCACAAACGCACATTCCATCCACCAAGAAAAGTTGTTTTTGACTGCGCTTATGCACTTTTTCTGATTCTTTTCTGTAGCCAGTAAGTTTTAGAGACCCTGTGGATATGGGAATATCTCCCGCAGGCAGCTGGTTTTTTAATACTCCTAAATGTAAAATGTTGATCGTCTTATTCATAAAAATCCTATATTACAGTTTGAATTTGTTGAGAATTGAACTACGCATTTTTCAAAAACAAAAAAAAGTTATCTTTTTTACGCAATTTTCAAATCCTTATTGAAATGCTGGAACTATGACTAAAATCTCTATGTTTTCCAATCGATAGGTAATATACTATTAGCATTAGACTTCTCAACATTTTTAAGTATGCTTACTCCTACAACAACTTCCTATACGTTTCAAATAGAATCTTCTCAGTATTTCAGAAATGCTTCTTCTCTCCGGAAAAAACTCTTTCCACGAATCTCAAAGGATTCTCATAAGAATCGTTGCCAAGTTTCTTTTTTTTTGTGCATATGAAACTAGGAGAACCTTTCGCTTGTTTAGAGCATGTTAGAGAAAGACATTCTCGAAAGTTTTATCAAGTTCCCTTCGAAGAAGACTTTGTTCTTCATAGATAACGACGATAACGATTCTATTTCTCGCTCATTGTAGTTATCCCCAATATTCCAGCCGACGCCCGATGGGCAAAGAATGGTGTGACCACTGCTGGAGGTCATGGGGAAGGCGATGCCACCAATCAACTCTGGCACCCTCATGGTCTCTTCGTTGATGATGATCAAACGATTGTCATCGCTGACTCCATGAATCATCGTATCATCCAATGGAAGAAGGATGATACGAATGGGCAAGTGGTAGCTGGTGGGAAGGGGCGAGGAGATCGATTGAATCAATTGGATGAGCCAACCGATGTGCTGATAGACAAAGAGACTGATAGTCTCATTATCTGCGATCAAGGCAACCGACGAGTTGTACGATGGTCTCGTCGTAGTGGCACAACTCAAGGAGAAATCCTCATCGACAATGTCGATCCTTGGGGATTGACCATGGATGATCAGAGATATCTCTACATCTCTGATACACAAAAATCTGAAGTAAGACGATACCAAATAGGAGACAAGAATGGAACTCTCGTGGCTGGTGGCAATGGCAAAGGTGATGGTCTCAATCAACTCAACGATCCGCGCTACGTCTTTGTCGATCAACAACAGACTGTCTACGTGTCAGACAACGAGAATCATCGTGTGATGAAATGGAATAAAGGTGCAAAAGAAGGAATTGTCGTCGCTGGAGGTCAAGGCGAAGGGAATGCTCTGACACAATTGGATCATCCTAATGGACTGTTCGTCGATACGTTGGGTACCATCTATGTGACAGACTCGGGGAATTATCGAGTGATGTGTTGGCCTAAAGGAGTGAAACAAGGCACTGTAATTGTGGGTGGAAATGGCTACGGAGAAGGAGCAAATCAGTTCGACGGTCTCCGAGGTTTGTCCTTCGATCGACAAGGCAATCTGTATGTCGCCGATGTGGAGAATGCTCGTGTTCAACGATTTTCAATCTAATGAACTCAACACGATGGATTTTTTTTCTTTCCTTTCAAATAAATTCAAGTTGCATTGATGAAATGAATGCTTATTCTATTCGCGTACGCACGACCAGGAACTACCCTGGTGGAGCCGTGGCGAGCGTAAGGCTCATGCACGCGTGGGAAGACCCACGTCATCCACATGCACCCATTCGATGTCATGTGTCAGTGAGTCTGGGGGCCCAGTCGTGTGCCACGGACACCAAAGCAGTTCCTGGCCGGGTTTTTAGGGACTACCCGGAAGTCCTTCTTATAACGCGAACCTAACCTCAACGAACAGAACTCACCCTCTATTCTCAT